GGCGGGTTACCCACAAAGGGAAGCCCATCAGACTCACAGCAGATCTCTCAGCAGAAACCCTACAAGCCAGAAGAGAGTGGGGGCCAATATTCAACATCCTTAAAGAAAAGAATTTTCAACCCAGAATTTCATATCCAGTCAAACTAAGCTTCATAAGTGAAGGAAAAATAAAATTTTTTGTGAACAAGCAAGTATTCAGAGATTTCGTCACCACCAGGCCTGCTTTACAGGAGCCCCTGGAAGAGGCACTACACATAGAAAGGAACAACCAGTACCAGCCACTCCAAAAATATACCAAATGGTAAAGAGCATCAACAAAATGAAGAATCTGCATCAACTAATGGGCAAAACAGCCAGCTAACATCAAAATGGCAGTATCAAATTCACACATAACAATATTAACCCTAAATGTAAATGGGCTAAATGCACCAATCAAAAGACACAAACTGGCAAATTGGATAAAAAGCCAAAACCCATCGATGTGCTGTATCCAGGAAACCCATCTCACATGCAAGGATACACAAAGGCTCAAAATAAAGGGATGGAGGAAGATTTACCAAGCAAATGGAGAGCAAAAAAAGAGCAGGAGTTGCAGTACTCGTCTCTGATAAAACAGATTTTAAAGCAACAAAGATCAAAAGAGACAAAGAAGGACATTACATAATGGTAAAAGGATCGAAACAACAAGAAGACCTAACGATCCTAAATATATACTCACGCAATACAGAAGCACCCAGATACATAAGACAAGTTCTTAATGACTTACAAAGAGACTTAGACTCCCACACAATATTTGTGGGAGACTTTAACACTCCACTGTCAATATAAGACAGATGAACGAGGCAGAAAATTAACAAGAATATTGAGGACTTGAACTCAGACCTGGAACAAGCAAACCTGATAGACATTTACTGAACTCTCCACCCCAAATCCACAGAATATACATTCTTCTCAGCACCACATCACACCTACTCTAAAATTGACCACATAATTGGAAGTAAATCACTCCTCAGCAAATGCAAAAGAACGGAAATCATAACAGTCTCTCAGACAACAGTACAATCAAGTTAGAATTTAGAAACTTTCTCAGAACAGCACAGCTTCATGGAAACTGAACAACTGGCTCTTGAGTGTTGACTGGAGAAACAATGAAATGAAGGCAGAAATAAAGATGTTCTTCTAAACCAATGAGAATGAAGACACAACATACCAGAATCTCTGGGACACATTTAAAGCAGTCTCTAGAGGAAAATATATAGCAATAAGTGCCCACATGAGAACAAGAGATCCAAAATTGACACCCTATCATCAAAATTGAAAGAGCTAAAGGAGCAACATCAAAAGAATTCAAAACCTAGCAGAAGACAAGAAATAACTAAGATCAGAGCAGAACTGAAGGAGATAGAGACACAAAAACCCTCAAAAAAATCAATAAATCCAGGAGCTGGTTTTTTGAAAATATCAACAAAATAGACCACTAGCCAGATTAATAAAAAAGAGGGAGAATACCCAAATAGATGCAATAAAAACGATAAAGGGGAGGCCGGGCGTGGTGGCTTAAGCCTGTAATCCCAGCACTTTGGGAGGGATTACAGGCTTGTAATCTCAATCAACAGATCGAGACCATCCTGGTCAACATGGTGAAACCTCGTCTCTACTAAAAATACAAAAAATTAGCTGGGCATGGTGGTGTGTGCCTGTAATCCCAGCTACTCAGGAGGCTGAGGCAGGAGAATTGCCTGAACCCAGGAGGCAGAGGTTGCAGTGAGCCAAGATCATGCCATTGCACTCCAGCCTGGGTAACAAGAGCGAAACTCCATCTCAAAAAAAAAAAGATAAAGGGGAAATCACCACAGATCCCACAGAAATTCAAACCATCTTCAGAGAATATTACAAACAACTGTATGCACATAAACTAGTAAACCTGGAAGAAATGGATAACTTCCTGGACACTTGCATCCTCCCAAAACTAAACCAGGAAGAAGTCGAAACCATGAATAGACCAATAACAAGATCTGAAGCTGAGTCAGCAATTAAGAGCCTACCACCCAAAAAGAGCCCAGGTCCAGATGGGTTCACAGCCAAATTCTACCAGACACACAAGGAGGAACTGTTACCATTCCTTCTGAAACTATTTCAAATAATCCAAAAAGAGGGAATCCTTCCCAAATCATATTATGAGACCAACATCATCCTGATACCAAAACCTGGCAGAGACTCAACAAGAAAAGAAAAGTTCAGGCCAATATCCATGATGAACATAGACGCAAAAATCTTCAATAAAATACTGGCAAGCTGACTGCAACAGCACATCAAAAGACTTATCCACTATGTTCAGGTAAGATTCATCCCGGGGATGCAAGACTGGTACAACATAAGCAAGTCTAGAAACATAATTCACCACATAAACAGAACCAAAGACAAAAACCACATGATTATCTCAATTGATGCAGAGAAGGCCTTCGACAAAATTCAACAGCCCTTTATGCTAAAACCCCTCAATAAATTCGGTATTGATGGAACGTATCTCAAAATAATAAAAGCTATTTATGACAAACCACCAGCCAGTATCATACTGAATGGGCAAACAATGGAAGCATTCCTTTTGAAATCTGGCACTAGACAAGGATGCCCTCTCTCACCACTCCTATTCAATATGGTACTGGAATTTCTAGCCAAGGCAATCAGGCAAGAAAAAGAAATAAAGGGTATTCAAATAGGAAAGGAGGAAGCCAAATTGTCTCTATTTGCTGCCTCCTATTTGCTTCTAAAAACTCCTGAAACTGATAAGTAACTTCAGCAAAGTCTCAGGATACAAAATCAATGTGCAAAAATCACAAGCATTCCTATACACCAATAACAGACTTAAAGAGAGCCAAATCAAGAATGAACTGCCATTCACAATTGCGAAAAAGAGAATAAAATATCTAGGAATACAACTAACAAGGAACATAAAGGACCTCTTCAAGGAGAACTACAAACCACTGCTCAACAAAATAAGAGAGGACACAAACAGATGGGGAAACATTCCATGTTCATGGTTAGGAAGAATCAATATCGTGAAAATGGCCATACTGCCCAAAGTAGTTTACAGATTCAACGCCATCCCCGTCAAGCTGCCACTGACCTTCTTCACAGAACTGGAAAAAACCACCTTAAACTTCATATGGAACCAAAAGAGAGCCCGCATAGCCAAGTCAATTCTAAGTAAAAAGAACACAGCGTAAGGCATCACACTACCAGAATTCAAACTATGGTACAAGGCGACAGTAATCAAAATAGCATGGTACTGGTACTGGTACTGGTATACTGAGATATAGACCAGTGGAACAGAACAGGGGCATCAGAGGCAGCACAACATATCTACAACCATAGAATCTTTCATAAACCTGATAAAAACAAGCAATGGGGAAAGGATTCCCTGTTTAATAAAAGGTTGCAAAACTGGCTAGCTATGTGCAGTAAGTAGAAACTGGACCCCTTCCTGACACCTTACACTATAATTAACTCCAGATGGATTAAAGACTTAAACATAAGACCTAACACCACATAAACCCTAAAAGAAAATCTAGGCAAAACCATTTAGGACATAGGCATAGGCAAGGACTTCATGAACAAAACACCAAAAGCATTGGCAACAAAAGCCAAAATAGACAAATGGGACCTAATCAAACTCCACAGCTTCTGCACAGCAAAAGAAAGTCATTAGAGTAAATCAGCAACCAACAGAATGGGAAAAAATTTTTGAAGTTTACTCATCTGATAAAGGGCTGATATCCAGAATTTACAAAGAACTCAAACAGATTTACAAGAAAAAAACAAGCCCATTCAAAAGTGGGCAAAGGATATCAACAGACACTTTACAAAAGAAGACATACATGAGGCCAAAAAACATATGAAATAATGCTCATCATCACTGGTCATTAGAGAAATGCAAATCAAAACTACATTGAGATACCATCTCACGCCAGTTAGAATGGCAAGCATTATAAAATCTGGAGACAACAGATGCTGGAGAGGATGTGGAGAAATAGGAACACTTTTAACTGCTGGTGGGAGTGTAAATTAGTTCAACCATTATGGAAGACAGTGTGGCAATTCCTCAAGGACCTAGAAATAGAAATTCCATTTGACCCAGCAATCCCATTACTGGGTATATATCCAAAGTATTATAAATCGTTCTACCATAAGGACACATGCACACGAATGTTCACTGCAGCACTGTTTACAATAGCAAAGACCTGGAACCAACCCAAATGCCCATCAATGACAGACTAGACAGGGAAAATGTGGCCCATCTACACCATGGAATATTATGCAGCCATCAAAAACGATGAGTTTGTGTCCTTTGCAGGGACATGGATGAACCTGGAAACCATCATTCTCAGCAAACTGACACAAGAATAGAAAATCAAACACCACATGTTCTCACTCATAGGCAGGTGGTTAACAACGAGAACACATGGACACAGGGAGGGGAGCACTACACACTGGGGTCTGTTGGGGGTATAGGGGAGGGATAGTGGGGGTGGGGAGTTGGGGAGAGATAGCATGGGGAGAAATGCCAGATATAGGTGAAGGGGAGGAAGGCAGCAAATTACACTGCCATGTGTGTACCTATGCAACTATCTTGCATGCTCTTCGGATGTACCCCAAAACTTAAAATGCAATTAAAAAAAAGATCCGTCTGCAAATGCAGTGTCCACTCACCCTCTGTGCTTTCACTAGGAGCTGCAATCCTGAGCTGCTCCTAAACGGCCATTTTGGATCTTCCTCTCTGCTTTAATGTTAAAGCGAGCAGAAGGTAGCAGAGAGCTACATCTTCAAGATAGTTTCCCTGGTCATCCTACCTTGGGCACATGTCACCTTGCCTCCCATTTCTAGGAGCCAGAGCAAGATAAATCCTCCATCTATCTCCTGCCTCCCCTCCCACACCTTCACTGAAAGGCAGAGGACCCCTGCCTCCAGCTCAGGGGAAAAACCAGATTAACCCTTCTGACCTGACAGCAAATGTTAGCAGTCTGTCTTGCTTCTCATAATGCCAGTCTGGGCACCAGTCAGTCACCGTCTGTTAGAAATACAGAGGATATATGGCAAAACTTACCCACACATGCTGAATCGAAAAAGAGCCGTTATTACTGCAAACTCTATATACATTATTTATCAAATGAACTCTCCACAGTAGGAATACAATTCATTTTTACTCTCTCGCTCTTGTTCTTTCATTTCAATAGGAGATGAAAGAAACCGTTTATAGAATCTTTTTGGTCATTACTCATGTGGCAGTATCCCTGGCTAGGGTTTGAAGTCAGAGCTGTCTATTGCCTGAAGGGAGTGGGCTGCTTCGAGTGGGAGAGAAACAGCCCCTGTCTGCCAGGCTTTCTCAGGCTCCCCTCTCCATGGCCCACCACTGCTGCCACCCCACCTCCTGGAACTGTGGAGAACTGGGTCTTGCTTCAGATTGCAAGACACACTCGAGGAGGTGTGAACCTTGGTTCAGAGGAAGGCCAGTAACAACGTATTTTCTTTGCAGCATTAGTTTTAACAAATTATCACAATTTGGGGAAGGTGTTCTCAGTAGGTTTGTTTGGAGTCAAGACCAGCTCCCACTTGGCCTCACATTAGAAAGCAGAAGAAATAAATCTCTTACTCAGTTTACACTGGTGTGAGCCTTAAAATGCAGATTTTCATAATCATGTTGACTCAAAGTAAGGAGTTTTGTCTGGTGGAGATGGCAGTGGTAATGGTGGTAGTAATAATGTTAGAGGTAATGATGGTGGAGGTGATGGTGGCAATGATGATGGTGTCAGTGGTGATGGTAGAGGGGATGATGGTGTTGGTTGTGGTGATAATGGCAGAGGGGGTGGTGGTGATGGTGGTGGTGATAATGGCAATGGGGGAGGTGGCGATAATGGTGGAGGTGGTGGTGATGACAGAAGGGATGGTGATGATAGTGATAGTAATAATGGTGGTGGTATTAGTGGTGATTGTAGAGGTGATGGTGGTGGTGGTCATGGAAGTGATAGCAGAAGGAATGGTGAAAATGTTAATATGCTGCTAATATGGTGGTAGGGGTGGAGGTGGAGGTGGTGGTGATGGTGGCGGTAGCAGTAGAGGAGACAATGGCAGTTGGAGGATAGTGGGCGTGGTGGTGATCATAATGTTGACAGTGATGGTGATAAGGGTCATGGTCTGTGCTTTATGGTAGAGGGTAAAAATATAATCTTTGCATTCAAAATAATTTTTCTTAAGGAATAGGAGACCTCTTGGAAAAAAAAGCACTTTGCTCCTATTTCAGATCAGACCTTGATAAAACTCATTATCTGAATTCCTGTCCAAATTTGCGTATCACAGACTAGAGGCTGCAAAGTGAAAATTCCATTTGTGAGGCACTGACTGCCTGCTGGTGCCCAGAGCATTTTCTTGACTTTGGGATGAGGTGTGCTGACCATTCTCTCTCCTAAAAGACAAATCTTGCTTACTGCGGACCCCAGATCCAGTTCACCTCCATACCTCTGGACGATGGTGACTCCCCTCCTCAAACCTTACCCATTCATCTTGGCTCATATATTGCCTTAATTATTATTTATTTAACCTTTGTGTATGTTTGACCTCCCCAACCAGATTGTAAGCTCCTCGAAGGTAGGGTGCATGCCTTGTCCTTAAATCTCATACCCTTTAAACAAATATATATGCATTAAACAAATGAAGGAATGGATTGGTGAGTGATCTATGGTGTTATTATTGTCTCCAAAAGTACGCAGCATAATGGTTTACACAATAATCATAACATTAATTTGAGCATAAAGATCTTATTACTTGCAAGAAAGAGGGAATTTAGTTACTGCTACTGCAATAGCACTTACCGAGCTCTGCGCCAGGCTCTGTGCTCAGCCCTTCACACACATTATCTTCATTGATTTTGACTACAAGCCTGTGAAGTGGGTACTATTTCCCCATTTTACAGATGGAAAACCTAGGATCAGAGAGTTTGAATAATTTGCATTATTTGGTTAAAAACGCTTTCTATTCAGACAGACGTGAGTTCAAACAACTCTGGCCTTTGCCAGTTGCATGGCTTCTATGGTACCAATTTTTGTTCTGGGACCTGAGATTCCTTATCTAAAAAGTGAGAAAATAATACTTAATTGTATGAAGGAGGAGTCAGTGAGAAAAACCTCTTTCTCTTTTACAAATATATACATAATAAAATTACAAATTATAAGTAATGAGTATAGTATTAGACATATTGCATACACATATACATATACCTTTGCTCAGTACCCAAGATAAAGTAAGTGCTATGTCAATAGTAGTTCTTTTTTCTATTTTTTTGCTCAAGGTCTCCAAGCTTTTAAGCAATGAAAACACATTCATTTATAGATATGGTGTAGAGCCCATGTTCTCACATACTTCAGATTCAGCCCCAGAAACAACCTGGGCACAGTGGGTGAGTCACAGAGCATCTTTTCTAGGAGTGAGGATGCCATATGACCAAACCAGGCAGGCTGGGCTGGCTGTCCAACTCAGTGGTCTACCCCAGGCCAGAACTCAATGTCTTGCTTAGCAATCTGCCTTCACATGCCCTGATGGCGGTAGCCTGGGATGCCACCAATATCATTTATAATGCCAGAGGTGCCATCTATGGGAACAGAGCCCCGCCCAACACATCCTAGTGGTTAGGGCAGCATCCGCCAGCAGTGTGATGGTTCAAGTCTCCCTAACTGACCAGCAGCCCTTGCATGGTGGCTCTGGGGGCACATTTATCTTCTGCTGTTCTACCCAAGTGTTAAAAATTAATTTAACTCTGATCACACTGACAGGGGAAAAGTTAATAGAAGTTTTATTTTTAATATATGGGGAACCTTAACAGGATTTAAGCTTAATGCCTCAGAAATGGGAAGGACCGCTGACGATTTATCTACCCGAATCTGTAGACTTTAGAGGGGAGCTAAAGAAATGGAAGAAGTATTATTCCAGCAGCTAGAGGCAGGATTGAAATGCGCCCCCCCACAGCAATTGGGAGAAATGCCAACAGTCTGCCAACCTTAGAAATTGACTCATAAATTGTCCAAATCCTCAGTTTCCCCTTATTGCCCTGACCTCCAGTTTTCCTGACTATCCAGAAAATATATCATTTCAATTTTTTAAAGACATAATAGAGCTTGTCACTTAGAATCATAGAATTTTAGAGCTGATTTCTTCCAGCTATAATAATTTATGATACTAAGAGACGTGGAGGGAAACTTTATAACAGAAAATTGTGCTGCACATGGGCCATACATTTTGTTTTAGACATGGCTCTAGGCTGTTTTCAAAAGCTACTAACTTAAAAAAATCTCTCATGCAAAACATTCTTCAGTACACTTAGGCTGAACTGCCTGAACTGTTCATTTTGAGACGATATTTCACTAAGGAGGCCAGTCAACTACTTTTACTTGGGAGATTTATTAGGCACCAACTAAGTGTCAGGCATTGTTGCAGACATCCACGGATGCAGCAGCAAATGAAACAGTCAAACATCTTTGCCTTTATGGAACTTGCATTGTAGTGAGGGGACACAGAAATATCGACAAAATAAAAAGTTACATATCATGTTAGAAGGTGATGTGTGCCATAAGAAAAACAAAGCGGCCAGGTGCGGTGGCTCAAGCCTGTAATCCCAGCACTTTGGGAGGCCAAGGCGGGTGGATCACGAGGTCAAGAGATCGAGACCATCCTGGTCAACATGGTGAAACCCCATCTCTACTAAAAATACAAAATATTAGCTGGGTATGGTGGCGCGTGCCTGTAATCCCAGCTACTCAGGAGGCTGAGGCAGGAGAATTGCCTGAACCCAGGAGGCGGAGGTTGCAGTGAGCCGAGATCGCGCCATTGCACTCCAACCTGGGTAACAACAGCAAAACTCCATCTCAAAAAAAAGAAAAAAACAAACAGCAAGGAAGAAGTGGAGGCTATGGAAAGAGTCCACTTTAAATAGTCTGTCCAGGAAGGCCCTTTGCTCAAATAACATTGAGTAAAGACTTGAGGGAGGTGAGGAAGCAAGTCTGTGACCCTCCGAAGCAAGAGCACCCTAGGCAGAGGGACCTGGAGGTGCATAAACTTACCTGGCATATTCAGGAATCATCAGGAAAGCTAGTGTGGCTGGACTGGGGTGAGCACAGATGAGCTGGTGGGCCCAGGGAAGACGCAATCAGGCAGGTACAACAAGGCTTAGAGCTGCCGCGTAGGTCAGATGACCACACATCTTGATAGCCCAGGACAATCCTGAATTAGTTCTGTTCTGTTGTCCTGGAAGAATTATTAATAATGCCCCTGTTCACTCTCAAAGCGCCCCAGTTCGGTTGATAAATTATATGGTCCCTCTGCATACAGGTCACCAGCAGGGCTTTGGCATTTACTGTGAGCAAGATGAAAACCAAGGGAGTTGGAACAGTGACAGGACCTAACTCTCATCCTCAAGGATATCCTCTGTTGCCCTGTTCAGGAAGACCTGACAAGGAGCCCAGGTAGAAGTAGGGGAACTATCTCTAAGACCTTTGCCAGACTCACGTCGTTGCCTCTCTCCCTCAAATGTCTCCCATTTTGTCTGCTGGTAAACTCCAAACAATCCTTCTGGCTTTTCAGGGTCTCATTCAAATGTCTCCTCCTGAGTTGCAATACTCGTCTCTGATAAAATAGACTTTAAAGCAACAAAGATCAAAAGAGACAAAGAAGAACATTACATAACAGTAAAAGGATCGATGCAACAAGAAGAGCTAATGATCCTAAATATATGCTCACCCAATACAGGAGCACCCAGATATATAAGGCAAGTTCTTAATGACTTACAAAGAGACTTAGACTCCCACACAATAATAGTGGGAGACTTTAATACCCCACTGTCAATATTAGAGAGATCAACCAGACAGAAAATTAACAAGGATATCCAGGACTTGAACTCAGACCTGAAACAAGCAGACCTAATAGACATTTACAGAACTCACCCCAAATCCACAGACTATACATTTTTCTCAGCACCACATCACACCTACTCTAAAACTGACCACATAATTGGAAGTAAATCACTCCTCAGCAAATGCAAAAGAATGGAAATCATAACAAACAGTCTCTCAGACAGCAGTGCAATCAAGTTAGAACTCAGAATTCAGAAACTAACTCAGAACCGCACAGCTTCATGGAAACTGAACAACTGGCTCTTGAATGTTGACTGGATAAACAATGAAATGAAGGCAGAAAATAAAGATGTTCTTAGAAACCAATGAGAACAAAGACACAACATACCAGAATCTCTGGGACACATTTAAAGCAGTCTCTAGAGGAAAATATATAGCTAGCAATAAATGCCCATATGAGAAGCAAGGAGAGATCTAAAATTGACACCCTATCATCAAAATTTAAAGAGCTAGAGGAGCAAGTTCAAAAAAACTCAAAACCTAGCGGAAGACAAGAAATAACTAAGATCAGAGCAGAACTGAAGGAGATAGACACAAAAAAAAACCGTTCAAAAAATCAATAAATCCAGGAACTGATTTTTTGAAAAGATCAACAAAATAGATCACTAGTCAAATTAATAAAACAGAAAAGAGAGAATATCCAAATAGATGCAATAAAATATAATAAAGGAGATATTACCACAGATTCCACAGAAATTCAAACCATCATCAGAGATTATTACAAACAATTCTATGCACATAAACTAGTAAACCTGGAAGAAATGGATAAATTCCTGGACACTTGCATCCTCCCATGCCTAAACCAGGAAGAAGTCGAAACCCGGAATAGACCAATAACAAAGTCTGAAGTTGAAGCAGCAATTAAGAGCCTACCACCCAAAAAGAGCCCAGGTCCAGATGGGTTCACAGCCGAATTCTACCAGACATACAAAGAAGAGCTGGTACCATTCCTTCTGAAACTATTCCATATAATCCAAAAAGAGGGAATCCTTCCCAAATCAATTTATGAGACCAACATCATCCTGATACCAAAATCCAGCAGAGACTCAGCAAGAAAAGGAAACTTCAGGCCAATATCCATGATGAACATAGATGCAAAAATCTTCAATAAAATACTAGCAAGTTGATTCCAACAGCGTATCAAAAAGCTTATCCACCATGATCAAGTAGGATTCATCCCGGGGATGCAAGGCTGGTTCAACATACGCAAGTCTATAAACGTAATTCACCGCATAAACAGACCCAAAGACAAAAACCACATGATTATCTCAATTGATGCAGAGAAGGCCTTTGACAAAATTCAACAGCCCTTTATGCTAAAAATCCTCAATAAATTTGGTATTGATGGAACGTATCTCAAAATAATAAAAGCTATTTATGACAAACCAACAGCTAATATCATACTGAATGGGCAAAAACTGGAAGCATTCCCTTTGAAATCTGGCATTAGACAAGGATGCCCTCTCTCACCACTCCTATTCAATATAGTACTGGAAGTTCTAGCCAGAGCAATCAGGCAAGAAAAAGAAAGAAAGGGTATTCAAATAGGAAAGGAGGAAGTCAAATCGTCTCTACAAGCATTCCTATACACCAATAACAGACTCAAAGAGACCCAAATCAAGAATGAACTGCCATTCATAATTTCTACAAAAAGAATAAAATACGTAGGAATACAATTAACAAGGAATGTAAAGGACCTCTTCAAGGAGAACTACAAACCACTGCTCAATGAAGTAAGAGAGGACAGCAACAGATGGAGAAACATTCCATGTTGATGGTTAGGAAGAATCAATATCGTGAAAATGGCCATACTGCCCAAAGTAATTTACAGATTCAATGCTATCACCATCAAGCTACCAATGACCTTCTTCACAGAACTGGAAAAAACCACCTTAAACTTCATATGGAACCAAAAGAGAGCCCAAATAGCCAAGTCAATTCTAAGCAAAAGAACACAGTGGGAGGCATTGCACTACTGAACTTCAAACTATACTACAAGTCGACAGTAATCAAAACAGCATGGTACTGGCACCAAAACAGATATATAGACCAATGGAACAGAACAGAGGCAACACAACATATCTACAACCATCCGATCTTTGACAAACCTGACAAAAACTAGCAATGGGGAAAGGATTCCCTGTTTAATAAATGGGGTTGGGAAAACTGGCTAGCCATGTGCAGAAAGCAGAAACTGGACCCCTTCCTGACACCTTACACTATAATTAACTCCAGATGGATTAAAGACTTAAACATAAGACCTAACACCACATAAACCCTAGAAGAAAATCTAGGCAAAACCATTCAGGACATAGGCATAGGCAAGGACTTCATGACCAAAACACCAAAAGCATTGGCAACAAAAGCCAAAATAGACAAATGGGACCTATTCAAACTCCACAGCTTCTGCACAGCAAAAGAAACAGTCATTAGAGTGAATCGGCAACCAACAGAATGGGAAAAAATTTTTGCAGTTTACCCATCTGACAAAGGGTTGATATCCAGAATTTACAAAGAACTAAAACAGATTTACAAGAAAAGAAACAACCCCATTCAAAAGTGGGTGAAGGATATGAACAGACACTTTACAAAAGAAGACATACATGAGGCCAACAAACATGAAAAAATGCTCATCATCACTGGTCATTAGAGAAATGCAAATCAAAACTACATTGAGATACCATCTCACGCCAGTTAGAATGGCAAGCATTAAAAAATCTGGAGACAACAGATGCTGGAGAGGATGTGGAGAAATAGGAACACTTTTACACTGCTGGTGGGAGTGTAAATTAGTTCAACCATTGTGGAAGACAGTGTGGCAATTCCTCAAGGACCTATAAATAGAAATTCCATTTGTATATATCCAAAGGACTATAAATCGTTCTACCATAAGGACACATGCACACAAATGTTCATTGCAGCACTGTTTACAATAGCAGAGACCTGGAACCAACCCAAATACCCATCAATGACAGACTAGACAGGGAAAATGTGGCCCATCCACACCATGGAATATTATGCAGCCATCAAAAACGATGAGTTTGTGTCCTTTGTAGGGACATGGATGAACCTGGAAACCATCATTCTCAGCAAACTGACACAAGAACAGATAATCAAACACCACATGTTCTCACTCATAGGCAGGTGTTGAACAATGAGAACACATGGACACAGGGATGGGAGCACTACACACTGAGGTCTGTCGGGGGGAAACAGGGAAGGGACAGTGGGGGGTGGGAAGTTGGGGAGAGAGAGCATGGGGAGAAATGCCAGTTATAGGTGAAGGGGAGGAAGGCAGCAAATCACACTGCCATGTGTGTACCTAAGCAACAATCTTGCATGTTCTTCACATGTACCCCAAAACCTAAACTGCAATTTAAAAAATTCTTATTAATAAACTAATAACAATAAAAAAAAAAAACCAAATGTCTCCTCCTTCTGAAGTCTTCCTTGACCCAGTCCCACAGTCCCAAATCCTCACAAAATTAAAGAGTGCCTTGACTGATGTGTTTTGCATTTGGTTGTCAAATTTGTTATGATGTTTACATATTGTATTTAGTTATTAGCAGCATACCTGCCCCTACTGCTAGACAGTGAGGGTCTTTCTTTTGAAAGGGGAAATTCATATTTTATTGAGGCCTATAATAAGGTAGATGCTTTCTAAGGTTTTCATTTTTCATTTAAAATGCACATTAATTTTAAGGAATGTTGTTTTGGCCTTGTTCTGATTATCAGTGTAACACACCACCCCAAAATTTAGAGGCATAAAATAACGGTCATTCTATTATGCCCATGGATTCCATGGGTGAGGAGTTGGAAGAACGCAGAGCTGATGTAACTAGCTGGTCTCTGGGTGGTAGAATGGCGGGAGGCTCGGGTCTCTGGGGGACTGGAGGATCTCTTTCCAGGATGGCTTCTTCATGCACATGTCTTGCCCACTGCTGGCATAACTCACAGGCTAGGATTATCAGCATGAGTGTGACCTCTCCAGCATGGTGGCTTATGTGGTGGCTCAGTATTCCTGAGAACAAGGAAGAAGCTTCATGGTCTTCATGATGTAGCCTCAGAAGACACATAGTATCACTTTCTCCATCCTCTATTGGTTGAAGCAATCACAAGCTGCTCAGATTGAAGAGGAGGGGATGTAGACCCCACCCATCAATGTGAGGAGCAGAAAAGAACGTGTGGCATGCCATACTTAAATCTGTCCCTCTTCCCACCTTGCAGATGAAGAAACCAAGGCTCAGAGAGTGTAAGATACTCATTGAAAATCATGCAGCTAAAATACAGTGGAACCAGGCTGGGCATGGTGGCTCATGCCTGTAATCCCAGCAATGAGGGAGGCCAAGGTACGTGGATCACCTGATGTCAGGAGTTTGAGACCAGCCTGGCCAGCACGGTGAAACCCCATCTCTGCTAAAAATACAAAAATTAGCTAGGCCCCAGTAGGGCTTTTGAGTTTACTCTGAGCAAGATAGAAACCATGGGAGTTGGAATAGTGAATTAAACCACGGGAGCTGGAACATGGTGTTGCATGCCTGTAATTCCAGCTAGTTGGGAGGCTGAGGCAGGAGAATTGCTTGAACCCAGGAGACAGAGGTTGTAGTGAGCTGAGATTGTGCCATTGCACTCCAGCCTGAGCAACAGAGTGAGACTTTGTCTCAATAAATAAATAAGATAAAATGGAACCAATACTCAGAGGGCTCTGCTGCACTGCAGACCACATGCTCTTTTTTTTTTGGAGACAGTGTTTCTCTCTTGTTACCCAGGCTGGAGTGCAAAGGCGCCATCTCAGCTCACCTCAACCTCCGCCTCCTGGGTTCAGGCAATTCTCCTGCCTTAGCCTCCCGAGTAGCTGGGATTACAGGCACATGCCACCATGCCCAGCTAATTTTTTGTATTTTTAGTAGAAACGGGGTTTCACCATGTTGACCAGGATGGTCTCGATCTCTTGACCTTGTGATCCACCCGCCTCAGCCTCCCAAAGTGCTGGGATTACTGCGCCTGGCCCACATGCTCTTTTTATCTTATCTGAATACCTGTTGTGGGGAAGAGAGAATGTCTTAGTTCTACCACTCTATGTTTAGCACAGAGTTTGGCACACTGTGAATGAATGGATGAATGAATGCAGCTTGGCCAGCAGCTCTTGAGCATGCTCTGATCTCTGCCTGTAATCTGAATGAATGATTCTAACAATGAGAATTTCACACACTGTGGCAAGAAGCATGGAAGACATTTAGGAGCATGGGAAGATGTTTTGGATACAGCTCTGTCTACTAAAACCCTTTTAACAACCCCAAGAGACAGACTAGACCAGCCCCAACCGACAGACAACTAGACCCATTTAGAAGATGGAGAAACCGAGCAACTATCAAGTAGCTGCAACAACACTAGGCCTAAGCACACCTTCCTTTCCCTGTGAGGACAGCAGGGCCCATCTCTGGAAAAAAACTCACCCTGTCCACCCCTTTCTCACCACCCGGTCGACCTGTTCAGAAAGGTGAAATATGGTTAAAATGAAAATGTTTCACCTTTGATTTAAAAAAAACAAAAACAGCTGGGCACAGAGGCTCATGCCTGTAATGCCTGCACTTTGAGAGGCCAAGGCAGGAGGCTCACTTGAAGCCAGAAGTTCGAGACCAGCCTCAGCAACAAAACGAGACAAGTGTCTAAAAAGTATTTTAAAAATTAGCTATGCGTGGTGATCCATGCCTCTAGTCCCAGCTACTTGGAGGCTGAGGTAGGAGGATCGCTTGAGTCCAGGAGCCCAGAAGTTCGAGGCTGTGGTAAGCCATAAGCATGCCACAGCACTCTAGCCTGGATGACAGAGAGACCCTGTCTCTGAAAAATAATAATAATACAATAATAAATAAATAATGTTTAAAAACCAAAAAACTGCAAGTTAGGAACCTAAGCTCACATCGTGGCCCTCTGCAGAAATCTGTGTCCCCAGTCAGCTCCCCTCCACTCTCTGGGCCTCATCTTTGTGATCTAGTTCCTGGCGGTCTGTGACTCAGTGGCTACCCTTCCACAGCTAACTTTCTGTGGCTCCAGGGGACAGACCATAAAATTCTCTTTCCCTCAGCCCTCACACCTGGCTCAACATCAAGTCTGGATCAACTTTATTTCCAAAATATGTCACCAATCATCTGGGTAAGGCATTAGTGAGAGTTTTTTGCCTTATTCTTGCAACTTTTCCGTAAGTGTAGTTTTCATCCTTAGTCTCTCTAGATTCTCCATACAGAAGGCAGGGTGGTCTTTGGTGTTTGCTTTTGTTCTGGTAAGACATATGTAACAAAATATACCATTTTAACAATTTTAAGTGTCCAATTCGCTGGCATTAAGTACATTCACATGGTTGTCCCACCGTGACCACTGTCCATCCCCAGAACTTTTCCATCATGCTGGCTGCATCTCTGCACCTGTTACACAGTAACTCCCACTGCCCCGTGTGACTGGCTTATCTCACTCCACATACTGACTTCACGGTGCATCCATGGTGTAGCATGTGTCAGAATCTCCTTCCTTTCTAAGACTGAATAGTATGCTACAGTATATCTATGCCACATTTTGTTTATTTATCTCTCAAAGGACATTTGAGCTTTTTCCACCTTTTGGCTATTGTGAATCATGCTGCTTTTACAAATACAAATCAGATCCTGTCACTCTTTACTCCCTTACAGCCCTCCCAAGCTTCACAATCTAAACTCCTTTCACTCATCCACTAGGCCTTACAGGTCCCTGCTTCTCTCACCTTTGTCCCCACCCCCCACCCCAGCTTCCCAGGCTCCAGCCATGGCAGCCTCTGCCCAGCCCTCACACACCTCAAGCATGGCCTGGGAGGGCCTTTGCACCGACTCTTCCCAGGCCTGAGCAGGGCCAGCTCCTTCTCTCCATCCAGGTCTCTGCTGAAATACCTCCTCCTCCGACAGCCTTCCCCACCCACCTGCACTGCAACAGCCCCCAATGTCCATGCAGTCCCAGGTGCTGTTCCCAGGGTTTATTTTCTTTGTAAAAGTTACAGCCCTGATATCCTGTCACATCACTATTGTGTGTTGTCATTTGCCCCACTAGACTTTCAAGCAGGGCGCTTTGTTCACTGCTGAGCCTCAGAGCCCAGAACAGTGCCTGCACACAGGAGGCACTCCCAACGCTTGTGGGATGCATTAAGTCTGAATATCTGATTTGGCCATCCAGAGTGAAAGTGTGGCAGAGTAGAGGAGTCCCAGGACCTCAAAGGGAGCGGACAGAAGGGAGACACTGGTGCACGACACTGAGCCCCATTACATTCTCACCTCAGTTGCTGACTTCTGCTTCCTCTTTTTTGGCTGCTATGTTAGCTGCCTCTGAGTGGGAGCCTGGAACAGAGAAACATGTGGCATGGCATGGCACACGTGACATAATACCCAAAGCACATGTCCACTCTCAGCCTGTCAGGCTCTGTGTTCCCAGAGAGCTCAGAGATGACAGGTGACACCTGGCTGGGTACAACCAGAGCAATTCTTTATAGAAGTACACCCAAGTCACTGAACCATGTAACATATAAGGAGAGAACCCATTAGTCTGTGTCTGTCCAACGTTCAAAATGCTAAGTCATTTTTCAGGCTTGGCTTGATTGCTCTTTCATCAATAAGAGCTACAATCCTGCCAAGCTGGGAGCAGACAGCTCTACCTGCTGCTGAGATAGGCAGCAGAGGGAATCCATAAAGGGCTGAGCGAATACCAGCCGCTGGACTATGTTCAGCAGGTTCCACATGTCTGCTCCTCTGGGATGGTGTGTCCAAAAGCATCTCCCCCATCCTAGTGCCACCGTGACAAAATCCCCCATTGAAGAAATGTAACTGAGGCTTCTCCTGTGAGAAGCCACTTGGCATGGCAGAGCAGCAGACAGAGGCCGGGCAGCCTGGCTTCTAGATCACCCCTCTTACCAACCAGGTGCCTTGAGCAGGCTTTATATCTCTTTGGGCCTCAGTTTCCTCAAGTGCAAAGGCAGGCAATCGGGCCAGATAACCTAGGCCCTTTTAGCTTGGAAATTCTGAGCTCTTGAGCTCTTTGGACAGATGAAACAAAAGGTTGCAATGAGAAGAGAGGAGAATCGCAAACTACCTTCATCTCCTTCACAGTCTGCCTTCCACCAGCTTGTAGTGGGGTTGTATAATCCAGACTTCAAGCTAAGCGTGAACGTATCTGTATGGGAAAAAAAGAACAAGGGAGGAAATTACTCCCCTTCCCCTAAAATGAGCAGTTAACAACCTATGGGATGCCACAGATACATGGAAGCAACTTAACTGTGCTTTCAGACCCCCATGATGCAGATGGTTTCTCAGGACCCCCTAGATTTTTATGGGCCCCTTTAGGAAGAGCCACTACCCCTAACTGCTATGTCCCACACAACCCACCTGGTCAAGGTCCATGTTTCTATGGAGGAAGACTTCATTCATTCGTTCATCAAACAGAATGTGCTGAGCACTTACTTTGTGCTAGGCACTCTAGCTACAGAGATAGAAGGTACAGTCCTTGTTCTCCCAGAGCTCATTGTCCAGAAGACAAGTAAACAGGGTGAGAGGCCTGTTTACATAACAGTGATACATGTTATGAGCTATGAGCTGTCTCACAAGCCACTTTGGGAGCCCAGAGCAGAGAACTTAACCCAGCATTGGGAGAGGTCCTCAGCTATCAGGGATATCTCCCTAGAGAAGGTGGTCCCTGAGCTAGGTCTTAGGGGATTCTACCTAAATATCTCCATTTTTGTCATTGTTAAAGTTAAACTCAGCTCACAGTCGCAAGGGACTAGGGCTTGAGGAGAGGAGTGAGGATCTGATGGGAAAGGAACAGAGGGAGTAACTGTGAAGCCCCACTTAGGCCCTGCTGAATCCAGAGGCCATGAAAATTTTATGGCCCCAAATGACAAGATTGGAAATAGTTTTCTCTCCACGGTCCCAGGTGAGGAAGAGGGTCCATTGATAGAGTGTTGGGACTTTTCCAAAAGATGCAGTAAATGCACAAGAGTGAGGGAGCAGACCCTCCTCCAGGAGAGTGGTTTGAGTGACAGACCCAGGATCTAAAGCCAGATGGGAGAAGGACGGGAAGCCAGGCACGGGTGGACTAAGGGAGAAAATAGGAATGGTGGTGAGCTCTCACTGCAGGATGAGCAGGTGTCAAAAGCAAAGCATGATTGAACTGAAGGTGGCTGAGAGGATGCAGGTGGAGTCCATCTGTAGTCGGGCAGAAAAACTGAGACTTCTGAGTTACAAATAAGGAAGTCTTGGAGAGGGAGGCTCAAATCTCAAATGAAAAGTGGCAGGATTTTCCCAGTTGTCTTAACTCAAAAGCCTCTCCTCTCTTTTATGAGAGCAGGAGAAAAAGAATCTCTTCAAAAATCCAGCCCAGTTCAGTTGAGGCCCAAGATGCTAACCATCCCATGAGATCCCCAGGCTTCTTCTGACCTGTTGGAAAAGTCTCAGCATTTCCTTGTAGCTTCATCTTTCCTGTTTTCCCCTCCACCTCAATCTTTACTAATGCCTTTTCAGAGACAGATGGCAGCCATGAGTATCTAGTCTTCAGGGCTATTCATATAGCAACTGACCCAGTACCCATAAAACTGACTCCTAACAGGTCTGCAGAACCACTGCATATATTCAACAATTTAGCATGTGCAGAGAAAAAAGAAAAAGAGGAAGAAAAGGGAGAGGAATGAAGGCCCTTAAGACATCCTGTGGGACTAGCCCACCCTTGAGATACTCAGGGCCTGTGGTACCCTGGGAATTTCTGTGGGTATGTGTGTGTTTGTGGGCATGTGTGTGTTTATGTGTATGTTCGTGCACATACATGCATCTGGTGTGTGCACATGCATGCATGTGTGTTTGTGTATGTGAGAGCAAAGGAGAAGAAGAGCGCCCTGGGAAAAATGGTTTTTACCAGCTGGTTCTATAGAGGTCTGCAGATGTCATCTAATCAGCCTGCTTGGGCAGATGGCAATTTCTATATAGTGTTTCCTTCCACTCCAAGTGGTTTGTGCCGTTGTGGATAAGACAGTTCAGGATCTTTGCCGAACCTCTCATAATCTGTTACCACGTAAATGTGTCAGCAGGTGGCGATACTGGTTGGCTGATACTTGGGTCAGATGCCAGGACCTACAGAAAAATAATCCTCTTAGATTGGAGCCAGGTCTTCCCCGACTCAAGGAAGGACCAAAGTATGCCCAGGCAGCTTGAGCACTGACTAGCCCACTCTCCGGTGTTGGTGCAGTATCATGCCAGGCTGCTCTCTTGGCATGGAGGGAAGCAGAACAGCTCAGAGCCACACCCACTCCCTCCCTGTGTCCCCCTGGCTGCTTCTGGAATAGAAACATCCACAGGCTAAGTCCTACATCACAGGTTTGCTGGTGGGACTCCAGGGGTCACTAAAGTGAATATCTGAAGCCTTGAACCTGGAAACACTGCGACTCACCTGGGAGGGTGTGTGGTTGATTGGCTTCCTCCAGTGGCTTCTCGTTGCTTCCACTGCTCCAAAGCTGAGCCAGCATGCCTAGGTCTCCATGTGTTACATATGAGCATTTACCTTGGCCTGGTCTGAGGTGGATAGAGGAGCACAGAGAGCTACTGACCACCAGACTTAGAAGTTACAAAATCCCTGAAGGTGCAGGGCACCGTGGCTCACGCCTGTAATCCCAGAACTTTGGGAGGCAAAGGTGGGCAGATGATGAGGTCAGGAGACCCAGATCATCCTGGCTAACATGTCTCTACTAAAAATACAAAAAATTAGCCAGGTGTGATAGCGCGTACCTGTAGTCCTGGCTACTTGGGAGACTGAGGCAGGAGAATTGCTTGAACCCAGGAGGTAGAGGTTGCAGTGAGCCGAGACTGCACCACAGCACCTCCAGCCTGGGTGACAGAGTAAGACTCTGCCTCAAAAATAAATAAATAAATAAAAATTAAAAAAAAATTTTAAATTCCTGAAGGCTCCTTAGAGCAGGATGTGGGAGGTAAGATAAGGCTACTTATAAGGGCTCAGGGGCTCACCTAATTCAGAGAAGCTGAGTTTGAGGAGAAGGTCACTGGGTGCTGCCATGGCTTCTGTTCATGGGCAGGGACAGTGAATCCAGGAGCCTATTTTTGTTTCCCAGTGGAAAGCAATGAGCAGCATGATAGTGACAGTAATAATAATAACAGGCAACATTTATGGAGCCCTTTCTACATGCCAAGCAGTGTGTTAAAGGTTTCTCATGGATTATCTCATTAAATCCTCATAACAATCTGAAGACATGGGTACATAATTGGTCCCATATTGCATATGCCGGAATGAAATTTGGTGATATTAACTGAGGAATTTTCCATTGCTGAGCTCCGCACATCTCCCTGACCACACGGAGCCAAGGCCTTCATTGCCTCAGAAGCAACTCTTTGCCTACAAATAGAAAGAATACAAAATCAAGAATAGAAAGCAACTAACAAACAAAAAAAAGAGAGAGACAACACAGAAATCATGTTTCCAAACAGGCATTGTAAAAGGCACAGCAGAGGCAGCAGTCTTGAGGTCCCCATGCTTCTGATTTGCAAAAGGACCAAGACTTTTTAATTTGCTGTTTCATAGAGAAAATGTAAGTTCCAAAAGTTTGACTTTATTAAGTCAAAAGCAGAAGAGACTGAATGCTAAACAGGCCAGCCATAAACAAGGGCTGGGAAGAAGGCAGAAAAATGAATGATGTAAGAACCACGCCTTTCCCTCCTTCCCCCTGCCCACCCTCCAAAACAGAGCAGGAATAAAACCAGAGAAGGAGGAGTGGAGAGAAGGAGAAGTAAAAACCTTCAGAGAAGCAGGGGGAAGACCAAGAAAGAAGAACAAATTCACTTCTGGTGTGGGGCACTGGAAAGGGACCAGGCCTCTCTCCTCCCCACCCCCTCAACGCCCACTCGTCCCCAGGCTCCATACCACCATTACTTACAGAAGATAGAAACCCAAGTGAAGAGTGAGAGATCCCAGATGAAGAATGCTGGGCTTGTGTCCCAGGGGTCAGCATGGGATGGTTTTGAGCGTCTGGAACACAAACTCACATGAATATGCATACACACAAGCACATGCATATAACATACCACACACATACATAAACATAACACACTCATGAATACTCATACACATATACACACATGCCCATACATATAACACACACATGCACACAACACATATATGCATGCCCATATACACATATGCACACATGCACACATGCACACACATGCACATACACATGAACACGCATACACACAACAAAGTCCAAGGCAGCCACACCCTGAGTGCCTCGTGGGGTGGCTGGTCCTGTAGGCTGTCTTAAGGCTATTATTTCTCTCCTTTTCTCAGCTCACCATGACTTACAGTTCCCTTGCTCTGAGCACCAAGAATGAGATTTTTTTTGGTACTTTTTTCAATATATAAATAATTTGGGTTCATTGTAAAAAAGTTAGAAAATGTCAATAACAAAACGAATAATTAAAATATCACCATCCAGAGATGGCTACTATTAATAATTTGTGTGTCTGTATATATCTGTCTATCAATCTATACATGAGTTGTATCTTCACAGCAATATAGCTTCCATTTGGTTTTTAAATCAGATAGAAAAGGATGAGAGCCATAAATGAGACTATGTCACCCATAACTACAAGGCAGCCCTTATTTCAGAAATTTCTATCTGGTCCCAGAAAACTAAAATAAAGAAAAAATAATAGCCATTTTGTGGGTGGAAAAATGAATCCCTCAAAGGAAGACGTGACACAGCCCAGCTTCTGATCCAGGATTTGGTAGAGAGCCAGGTCAGAGCCCAAACTCTGATTCTGATACAGCAGCTCCCTGAGTACAAGCATCAGGCCCTGAGTGGCTGAGCTGTCATTCTCTTGGCTGCATGCAAACCAAGAACTTTGTTTGTGTCAAAGTATGTGCAATGCCTTCTTGCAAAATGACCTAAATTAGAAACCCTCCTCTCAGGAGCAGAAAATTCTGCATTGAGGAGCAGGAGGGGTAAATCCATCCATAAAAAAATGACAGCCACGACTCTTTAGACCTACATAGTTTGGGATCAATATCCAAACCACAGTCTTAGACAAGAGTGTGAAAAGATTTAAAAAGCCAGACACACGGGAACCATGTGTTTCCCATAATGGCTCAAATGAAATTATATAGTCCAGAACATTTTAAAAGCAAGCAGCTTATTTTGAACAGGGGCACACAAAGGCTGCTGATGTGCACTGTGAAAACTCAATAAAGGGGAACATCTAATGAAAACAGATATAACGTACAACTGCAATCACAGGTCATGCATGAAGTATTAACCTCAGGGAGTGTTCTATCAGTTCTGGGGTTATGGATTGCGTCTCTGGTATACAATTTGGGAGATATTGGTTCTCCATTTCGTAAGAGAGAACTTGAAGCAGTAAATGTACTTATTTCTTCTTTAAATGCATACTGTAATTACCAGTCGGCAGTGACTAAATGTTATTACCCATCTGTTGGCTGCTCCAGGACCTGTAATGAGTAAACCTTAGCAGGTTATGCCATTTTCTGTAGCATAGATGACTGCAGCTTGCACACGCCTGTAAAGTCAACACTTCTTGTGTTGAATGTATTGTTGAAATTTTTTACAGAGAAACCAAGAAATGAAAAAAAAAATCTTTGAACAGGTTTAAAACTTCTGCTCAAAATCTTCTGATGAATTCTCATTGCAGTCAGCATAGAATCTAAATTCCTGTGTTTGGCTTACAAGGCTTTAAATTATCTGGTCCAACTCTCTTCCCCAGCTCTGTCTCAGGCTTCTTAACTGCCTTACTAACTCTGCCAGGCTGATCTTCAAACATCTTCCAAAGCATTAAATTCACTCCCCACTCAGGGCCTTCACACACTCTTTCCCCTCTCCCTGAGCCATTCCTTTCTCTGTCCCCATACTCTCTTCATAACTTTTTCTTGATCATTTTTTCAGGTCCCAAATTAAACATCATCTCCCCAGCAAGGCCCTGCAGTGGCCTCCAACAGCATCCTGTTGGCTCTCTCCAAGTTATCAATTACAATTTAGAGCTGTCTGACTGTGTGGGTTTACAGGTTAGGCCTCTGTCTCTCCCATGGGACAGGACAGCAGAAACTCTGCCTGTATTATTTACCACTGTAATTCTAGCAATAAGAATGTTACCCACCTTTTTGAATGAATGAGTGAATGAACTATGGTATTTGTTATTTCTGGGACGTGGTGTGTGAAGGACAGGTTTGAGTCTGGACCTAACATATTTGTAGGAATCAGGGCCCAGAAAGTTCTGACCATAGACCAAGGAGTAAGGAACTCAGCTGTGGGCCAGCCACACTTCCTCTACCTGACGCACACCTGTTTGTGTGTGCATCTCTTTCTTTGCATGCCCCCAAATTCTGTTCAGCTGAGCCAAATCCTTAGACCATCTAAGGCCCCCATTTAGTCTTGCATATTCCTTTAAAGGGGTCTTAGATTGCTTGGTCAGGAAATCAAGAGGCTCTTTAAAACCCATTCTCATCTTGCAGGGGTCCTTCCTCTCCTGACCAGCACAGCATAACTCACAATGTGCCACTTTGTTATACTGTCTCTATCGGATGGCTTGGCTTTGTATGTTGGTTTTAATTTTCTGATCTGGTTATAAGTATTTTGATTGGAATCTCTGATTATGGTTTAACTCAAAAGTTGGCTGGGCCTCCCTGTTCCAAGAGATCTAGATTTAATGGACACAGACCACCCCCCAAGTCCACGGCCAGATGAAGCCTAAAGCTCTCCCATAAACATGGTTTTATGAGCCCCTGTGGCTTAAGCATACATCAGTTAGAAATCCAGTCCTCTATCAGATTCCTCTGCAGATCCTATACCCCAAAATATCTGTAGGGACAGTAAAATTTCCTAAAGGTTTCCAAAGAAGGAAATCACTTCTCAAACTAAGGAGCAATCTCAGAATCTGTCTTTTTGCATTCCCTTTTCTTCTTCCTTCCTTATTAACTCACCATCTTCTTTCCTCATAGACCCTCCCTCCTCTTTCTTCCCAGTCTTTCCTTTTTCTCAGAATTAAGACAATTCTCCTTGGTTCTGGCAGAGAAATGTAGTGATCATCTATGGAAGCTGAAACACGTACTGGGGCTGTCTCACCCTCTACCCCAGACCCTTAGCAAAGCTATTTAAAAACTTCTTACCACAGACTACAATCTTGCTTCAGTAACGCCCACAGTCACTACTACAGAGCTAAGCACATAGAAGATGATGAATAAACACTTGCTAAGCATTGACTGGAAAACCTGATTGAACTGGGAGCCTGGGGTATAATCTAGTATCACGAGCAGTTAGTAGAGATAGGGCATTCTAGGCCAGGATTCACACCTCTGATCTTCCTACTGTGCAAGATAAGAGTGCCCTTCTCCAAAACTATAAGGGTAGCGCCATTCAGAGCAGGAAATCCATAGCTCAAATTAAAACAAGATGGCAATAAAGTGACACACAAATACTAGTTGTAAATGCTGAAGGGACTTCATCAAGCAAAAGGGCACAGCTTTCCACTGCAGCATAATGCAAAGGCATTTTTATTACTTTGGCAATTGGCAAAAAAAGTCAAATGACTTTATGGGGCTTCTTCTAAATTACCTTTATTAATGTATGTAATATTATTGAAAAATTATACTACAGAGTAAATGTTCCACTGAGCTACAAGTTGCCTGCAGGAATGTGCTGTAAATATACAAGGGTGAATATGTTACTATCTTTACAACCCATTTCACACTTATTACAGCCTTCTAAAAGCAAAATAGCACTGAACATTTGGAAAAGTATAGAAATTTTACAACATGGTATACAATATAGGTAAATTGTAGAGCCTGGAAATGTATCAACTGCCTTTGAGTGTTTTAACGTGTTTCAGAGTTGTCTTAAGACTATGTTCTCGACCTCATGATCCACCCGCCTCAGCCTCCCAAAGTGCTGGGATTACAGGCGTGAGCCACCGCGCCGCGAGGTCAAGATATCGAGACCATCCTGGTCAACATGGTGAAACCCCGTCTCTACTAAAGATACAAAAAATTAGCTGGGCACGGTGGTGCTTGCCTGTAGTCCCAGCTACTCAGGAGGCTGAGGCAGGAGAATTGCCTGAACCCAGGAGGCGGAGGTTGCGGTGAGCCGAGATCGCGCCATTTCACTCCAGCCTGGGGAACAAGAGCGAAACTCTGTCTCAAAAAAAAAAAAAAAGACTATGTTCTCCTAGATCACTTGCACCTCTCTGATATGTTGACATTTGCTTTGAGAAACCCATTCTGGCTGATTTGAATAAATATAGTCTCGGGCAGTTGACGAGACTCTTCCTATTTATTATGCTTGAATGCTTGGAAAGAGAAGCGCTAATGGCTGAAGCATGCCAGGGCAGATGCAGGTGGAAGCATTTTCCTCTTCCCTCTGCTTTCTCTGTGTGCATCTATCTTGACAGAAAACACATCCAGCCGTGGTTCAGGGCTTCCAAATGCAATCTCTGTTTGCATGAGTTGGCCTTGAGACCACCTTCTCACTCTCAATGTTCCAATAATCCAGTCAATATAATTTCAGAGCCCTAAAATTCAATATCAATGCTTTAAGCCATCTCTCTCCTGGTCTTCCACCCTCTCTCAGGCACGACCCTGGGACCACTTCATATCCACTCACTTTCATCTTGTTCCTACGTAAGCCCCCTACCACTCTTGTTGTTCAGAGCCAAACTGATGGGGGGTCATCTTGTCATAATTTATGAGACTAGTTTCCATGTCCTGCTGCCTGCTTGTCACAGTGAATTCTATGAATTGGTTGAAAGAGAAGGGGGAAGAGAGGAGGGAAAAAGCCCAAATAAGAAATAATAAGATATAAAATAAAAGAGAAAAATAAGATATAAAAAAAGGAGATAAATGAGGCAAACTAAAATTGACTGCACTGCCTACCAGCTGTATTCTTCAAGAGCCCCTGCTTGGGAGAAGATGAACAGGCAGCCCCTCCGCAGACTAAAACCACGGCAGTCCCAGAGACTACCGTCATCCAACAGATGCCAGCTTTCCCCTCTGTTACCACTGCAGCTAGCTTCAGGTTGGGAAGACTTCCAAATGCAAAATATGTCACGCTTCTACATAACTTTTCAGCTCTGTTTTTTACTAATTCACACCCCTCTTCCTTGCGTATCTAACCCCCACCACCTTGGCTTTTAGACTTTTAAAGAAGCCTTTCCTCATGTTCTTCCCTTGACAATATGATATAATATTAGGAGCTTTTAAGGCTAAGTCACTGATAAATAGCTGGACAGAAATCATTAGCTGGGAAGGCAAAACAGGAAATGGTACTACCCAGGCCAGACTTAGGACTAGGTAGATGAGGTATAGTGATTTCTATAATGTAGCTCGAGGGTCTACCTAGAGCTCGCTCACCAACACACACACACACACACACACACACACACACACACAGAGCTGTGCTGGTCATGCATGGACCTGACTTCTCTCAATCTTTTGAAAGTGTCTATTTTTATAGCTGGTAGAATGTTGTCAATGTCTATAATGGATTTGCGTCTCATTTAATATATATTGTATCTGGTATTATTAACAAATATTTAAGTTGGTGTAAAAGTAGGTAAATTTGTAACATGCATACATGTACATATAAAACACTATATGCATATAATGTGAAATCACTCATCTATTATATTTTTAGTCAAAAATATGTTGTTTTCTATCATGATATCCCTTCTTCTTTTTGCATAATTCCAACAAATATTCTAAACACATAAAACAGATCAAAACTAGAGTGAAATTACATCTCCAAGACAGAAAAGAAAACCGAAACCCTAATGTGAAGTCATTTGGCAGATCTCCAATTCACTTATTTACCAACCTGTGTTAATGCCAACCTCGTGCCAGGCATCATGTTAATTGCTGGGGACAAGAGGATGATACAGAGATGAATTAAGACATATGCTCTCATCTTCGTACTCAGCTGATGACCTGGCTTATTTCTTTGAGAAAAGGAAGCAATCAAAAGAGAAATCCTATCCACTCCCACCTTCCCATCTACCAATCAGCTTGCTTTTATGGCCATATACTCTGCCTTTCCTCTAGTGACTAGGTCATATCTAAAACCATTGGATCTTATCCCTCTCTCCTACTTAAGGACATCAGTCCAGCAGATATCCTCTCTATTAGTATAATCTATTTTCCTCTGTTCTTAAATCATTTATGACTTTCACAATTTGAAATCCAATGGTCTGTTTCTCAAACCTCAGACTGAAGATCTAATAGGACTAACAGATCTTATCAAATTAATTCTCAACTCTTAACAGAATTGTATTCTCCCCTGAAATACGGTCTTCAGTTGGTATCAGTTAATCCACTCTTTTAGTTCCCCTCTCACCTCCATAGTTGCCCCTTCTCATTCTCCTTTGCTGGGCTCTCCTCATCAATGAAATCTCTAAATATTGGTGTGCCACAAGGATCAGTCCTTGGATTCTTTCTTTTCTCCTCCTACACTCACCCCACCCATTTCCATGAATATTCACCAAATTTACATCTCCAGCCCAACTTCTCCCAAATTCCAGATTCATATATTCAACGTTCCCCTCAATACGACTTCCTGGAGTTCTAATCGCTATCTCAAATTTTATATGTCCCCAGTTGAACCTTTAATTAGTCCCTATTCTACACCTGATCCTCTGTGATCTTTCCTGCCATAGGTAATGCAATGCCAATCTTCTATTTCCACAGGCCAAAATACCTGGCACCATCTTTAACTTCTTTCTTTCTCTCACCTACTATCAATCCATTAGGAAATCCCATTAATTCTTCTTCAAAAGGTGTCTAGAATCTGACCATGACATACTTGTTCTTCCACTGCCATCCTGGTCCAAGCCACCAGCATGTCTCACCTGCCTTCTAACTGGTTTTTCTACTTCCAACTTGCACCCCTCCCCAACTCATGAGATTATTCTCCATAAGCAGCCACGTGATCTTTCAAAGCATAGGTCAGATCATGTCATTCCTCTGCTATAACCGTCCAACAGTTTCCCAATGCAGTTCAGTCCTTGTCCTTGCGGAGCTCACAGTCTAACAGAGAAGACAGAAATATAAAAATAGATTACCGAGGCAACATAAAAGTGCAATGATAGAGTGCTGGCTGTGGGAGTGAAAAGGAGAAGCAATTACCCCAGAATCATGGTGAGAATTATGGAAAGCTTCCTGGAAGAGGTGATATCAGAGCCTCAAAATTAAGGAGTTTTTGAGGTAAGGTGTGTGGGGTGTGGTGAAAGTAAGGAACTGGAGGGCAAATGGCGGGAAGGTCACAGCGTTACTGCCCAGCAGGGGGTGCTAGTGAGCAGCCGCGGTGCTGGCCAGCTCCTCTCTCCAGCCGTCTGGAGAATGGCTGGGAGGGCTACAGGCAGGAAGCCGAGCAATATCAGTTGGAGGACTCATCTCCAATTCAGGCAAGAGGTGATCAATTATCAGGCCCAGGGAAGGAACTGTGTTCCCAGGGACAGTCAACAGACCGTATGTCAACAAAAAAAGGTGGCGTTTCAACAAAAAAAGGTGGCGTTTCTCTGGAGCTTTTATTCCTTCCAGTGCTCTGCCTCACTCCTACTCTGGAAATGGATGTGCATTACCTCACAGGCTGTCAGAACCTTCCTAGGAAACCAGCATGTGGACGAATCTTGAAAATGCAATCTGGCCGCAACCAGAGCTTTGCATGCTGGTTCCTTGGGGCCACACACTGAGACACTTTGCAAGAAAATTGAACAGAAGACAGATGGCAAATGTCATGGGGCCTCACACAACTGAGAAGGCAAAGGAGTAAACCAGAAAATAATGCACTGAGGACTAGAGTTCCTGGAGCAGGCAGAAAAGTAGTTACTTCCCCTGTCCCTTGACTATGAGAAGCAGGCAGGGTACTGACCTCCTGAAGGAGCAACTGTGGTCTCGGTGACGCGATGGATGGGTTTGATCTTTATAAATTGATGGGTGAACTGTCCCATGTTTCTTCATTCTGAATATTCTTTGAGCTTATTACATCAGCTCAGAGTGAACGCTCTAAATTTAGACCCAAACTTTTTCATGTTTCCAAGGGAACTGTAAATTACTTTGTGAATGTACATACAACACAGCCAGCAAAATCTGTTTGATGAAGCCCTCTCCTGCACTCAGAGTTAAAGGCATCTCATAAATTGTTGCCTTGCCCAAGGTTCTGGACAGTAGCTGACAGCCTCAGACAGATTGTCTTCACTTCTCCGTATGACACTTCTGTAGGAGGCTCTACTGCAAGTACAAAGGACACAGGCCTTCAGCTGTGACATCCCCTAACTCCCCAAAGTCCCATGTTGTTTCTGTGAAGGGTTTCTTGGATGGAGAACAGAGTGAGAGATGCTATGTTGCTTAAGATGAGCCATCCAACTTGATGGTGCCCAGGCTACCCTCAAAGTATCAAATCCTACTTGATAGTGAAGACAGAAGAGGAAATGATCTAGGAGGGGATAGTGGAGCACGTGAAGTATTTTTTGATGAGGTTAGTGAATCATTTAGGGCTGAGTTCAGCTATACTCACAGAGACTGGAGGTATTGATGGCTTAAACAATGTATAGGAAGTCCAGAGACATCCAGTCCAGGATTAGTATTGTGGACACAGTGTCAACATGACCCTAGGCTCCTTCTATCTGCTCTTTACTCCTCGAATTTTGTAGTTTCCTCCTCACATTCACTGCATGGTCCAAGATGGCTTCTGGAGCTCCAACCATCATGCCCATGCTCCAATTAATAGGAAGAAGGAAGATGAAAGGGCAAAAAGGGTGCAATTACCAGCTGGCCAGCGCCTGTATTTCACAGCTGGTCAACTTTCTCAGAGTCCCACATTATAATCAACTTACATCTCATTGGCTCTACCTTGATTACCTGGCCACTCCTAACAGGAAAGACTGGGAAATGCAGTCTTCAAGCTGGATGCAATATGGCCCCAAATCACTTTATGGGTTTGCCACCAAGAGAGAAGGGGAGAGCCAGTACTGGGTGAAGTTTAGCAGTCTCGGCTCCAGTTAGGTTATAAGCATATAAGGAGCAGAGCAAATGCCCCTAGCCTCCTAATACAATACGGTGGGAACTAAAGCAGTATAAAAAAATACTCAGCAAGATAACAGCCTCGAAATAATGGGAAGACTGCAAAAAGAAAGGAAAGGAAAGATGGAGGATAGAGGGAAGAGGAAATGAAAACAGGAAGGTAAGAAAGGAGAGTAAGAAAGATAATGGGGAATAAGACAAGGGGGAAATAAAGAGAAGGCTATAGAAAGAAAGGAAAGGAAAATATAATGCAGGTGTTTCAGGGTGCCCATTTTCTATCCTTAGGGGTGACTTCTGCTGTGTGGGCAAGTTTTGGATTCCTCTTTCTGGAGCTGAGGGTTTTCTTCTGTGTCTTCCTTGGTGCAGGGCTCCCTGCTATTACTTCTAACAAAGACGTTCCAGTCTTTTCTCATGCAGTGCCCAGAAAATGGGACCAGCCAATCCCTGTATCCTTTGGCTACTTTTGCCCATCAGCTTTCACCAGACAATTCTCACAGTTCTTTACCATTTCTCACAATTCTTCACAGGTCAGCATCTTAAGGGCCGATGTTGCCTTGCAGACCTGCCTCTGGGACAGATTGTCCTCTGTGGATGCCTCCTCCACCTGTGATGTGCAGGCCCTGCTTCAACACTCCCACTCAGCAACCCCATATCCCTGGCCCCCTCTTCACAGGCAGAGGCTCACCCATGACGCCTTCTTATATCTTGCCAGTTGGGGAAACAAGATCTCAAGTCTTGGAAGAAGATACATTTGGTGTTATTACCTCCATCAGCAGCCTGCAGATAGAGACACAGAGAGAGAGAGAGACTGACTGATTATGGTTCACAAACAAGAAAATGAAAATGAATGTGGACAGCCCCTTTACCCTGCCCCCACCCATCAGAGCTGAAGACTGACTGATCCTCTTACTAGGTTATGCAGAAGTAATCACTATTCACATACATCTGTTTTCAGTGGCTTTCTGGCCCTGTCCTTGAGGGACCAGACCACTACCATGACCACTACTCTTCCTCTATGATTGTGCTAGAAAGCATGGGTTCTTCCTTCTCTGCCTGGGGGCTGGCCCCATTACAAGAAAAATGTCATTGTCAGTGGAAGCTTTCCTGGCCACCTAGGAGGAATGGTGCCCACCCAAGGAAGCTAGTTTTACTCTGGAGCTTCCTAGGATCTAAAGAACTGAGTGAATGCTAGTTCAATCCCCCATGGAAGGGAAAGAAGAGGAAAAAGGTGGGGATGTCGCCTACGGTATCTATCATCTTAGTGAGAATTTAAGCTAAGCTTGTGTAGAACAGATTGTGTTCTTAAGTCTGTTTTATATTATCATCAACACCAAAGACAGTGCTGTCTCCACACGGCTGGCACTTGATAATGCTTGTTAGATTAACAGATGAGAACATGTCTATTGTTTCTCAGCACCACATAGTTGAGATGAAAACTTAAATATTTTTAATAATGAATTTATATTTTAAAAACTTCCAAGGAAAGGATTCAGTTTCAGATTTTTTCTCCCAATTGATTGATTCCTCCCTAAAGGTCCATTTAGTACAGTCCCCAAATGAAAAGGCAGTTGTGAGAAAGTCCGTTGCTGAATGTCATGCAGATGATTATGCAAAACGCAGGCTGCTCCCCAGGCCCTGTGGGGAGCTGTGAAAGATTCTATTCCTGGAATAGGTACTCTTAGGAGATTAGGCAGATGATGAGGTCAAATATCTCCCCAGTCCATGTATATACATGCAACATAAGATGCCCAAATTGGACTCCAGAGAGACTCCAAAATACTTGTCATAGTTAAAATAAAATTTTCCTTCCCATAGAAAATTATATTTTTTACTACAAAATATGTAACAACCCATTATTGCAGAAATAATTTTCCCTTAAGTAATGCCATTTCCCTGGGCCCTCTTTTTTATATGGTAGATCCAAACAAGTTTTATCTAAAGACAGTAAGAGGAAAGCAGAGAATAAATTTACAAGATTTCAATGAAAAACATGGTTCTCTTTGGATGTGAAGGAGACGTATCAGCCAGCACTGAAGGAGGAAGATTCTACAGTAGAAGGGGCATGGAACCAGGAATCAGGAGCCCTACATTCTAATCTCAGCTCTCTCACTAAGTATCGGTTTTCCTCACCTGTCAAATCAAAAGGCATCAGGTGATCTCTCAATTCTGCTCTCTGGTTACATGACTTGGAGTCTGTACTCATTGAAAGTACATGGAGATGGGAGTGGGGAGTAGTGGGAAATATTCCTGGACATAACATGATCTCAGCTACTAGAATGATCTTCCTAGCCTGCAATACGAGAAAACAAATGTTCTCTTTTAGACTTTTGTCTAATTCTGACTTCAGGACTCCTGACTTAATTCCTTCTGAGAGAGTTAATTCCTAAGAGTCATCCAGGTTACCATTCAGCAACTTCCCCACCAATTTCTTTCTCAGTTTTACTGTTACTATTGCCACTATCCACTATTTAACTTCCTCAGGCTCTAAGCAGAGCCAACTCTAAACAAAGCTGGCTGAAAATGTGTTGGTGCAATAGAATTTGTTGTTCAAGCAATATACTGGGGTTTCAGCAACCAGTTGTGGTGAAGTACTGCCATTTTTCTCACCACCAAAGGTAATGGACCCAAGGATATACAGCAGGTTCTATCTCACATACACATTCCATCATTTTTGTAGAGTTGCACAATGGGCTATGAGAAAGTTGCCAGGAGAGTGTGCTGTGATCAATTAGCCATGTCTGTCATGAGGAAAAAGCAAAAGTAAATACACAGAGTAAAGACACACATATCATTTATCTGCTATCCCTGGGCTGCTGGGCTTTTGGGCTACCAAACTGTGCCTTCTCGGCAATGAGACTACAATGGCAAGGATCAAATTCTTCCAGAGAAAACATCTTTCCTCCATCAGTGACATTATACAAAACTCTTCTTCCATATTCCAGACCCTACCCAGTTTCTCCATCTAGTTCAACCTGTGCTCTACATCCTTGGGAAGCACATCACAAATAGTGTTTCAGATAATGTTAATCTCATAAGATGCTATTTAAAAGAAGGCCCTTTGGTCTTACAGTCAGGATTCTCTGCATGCCAAATTCAGCCAGACAGCTAATATTTTCATCTGGTAGTTACTGAGCACTGATCATACTGTAGGTTCTGTTCTAAATGCTTTGCACGTATTAAATTAATCCTCACAGCTCTATTTTGTCTGTTTCACAGATGAGGAAACTGAAACAAGAGAGCAACTGCTGGAGTCAGGATTCACTCTGGCAGTCCAGATTTAGAATCTGTTCTTTCCACTACCACTTGATGCTGCTTCCTGTTCCTATATTTATCTATATCATCTGTATCTTTATCTATATATCAATTCTAAATCTATATTTACGTATATATACATCTATATCTTAATGATTCACAAATCATGTTTGCATGTTAAAGGTTCTGAAAAATTTTTCTGTAAAGAAATCTCGTGCTGTTTAATTATATGATTCTTTAATTTATTTGATACAAGGAATTCCCCACAGATACTCTTTTCTCCCTTTGCTTAGCTTCTCATCACAACTCATATCACAGGATGTTCTAGAGCACCATGAATACATCCTTCTGAGGACTGAGCTATAAAATTGAAGGATGAGACTCTTAAATCCTGGCCTCAGATTTCTGCGTTATTTGGACCAAATGTATAATTAGAAGACTCAAAACCCAAGGGAAGACTGCCTAGTTTTTCAAGTCCCAAATGAGCTTAAAGGGAGTCCCTAAATGAAGAAAACAGGACAGACTCTATCCCTGTGCGACTGATTAAGTAAGTGATGATAGATGACAGACAGACGAGTCAAGTCAAACCAGGAATAAACTAAGAGTAGCTGGTGAGCATTTCCACTTACATGAAATGAGATTCATGCAGCATGGGGGAAAAGGCTTGAAATTCAAACTAAAGGGATTTGCATTTGAGTCTGAATTCAACCAATAGCGGAAACTTTACTCCATGTTATATGGCTAACATACAATATTATGCCAGATAGGTGCTCAAAAAACATATGTTGGTTTGAACAAATGTGTAATCTTGAACAATTTACTTAGCATCCCTAAGCCTTAATTTCCTCATATATAATATGAAGATGACAATAACTTCGACTTCCAGGGTTGCTTGGAAAATTAAATTAGATGATATGTTTTAAAGCAAGTTTTAGTTTTAAAGCCTTACGTGAATGTCAGCTGCAAGTCCTGTCATCATTAACAATAATAAACTTAGCAGGATTTGAAACACAGCCAGAGTTTACATCTGTTCCCTCAGCCACGTCTCACCAGACTTATACCATGAGCAGGACATGCTGGTCAGCAGTAGGCATACAGGGATACCCAGCCTCTAATGGAGCAAGAATTAAAAAGTAAGACCATTACGGACAAAGAGCGACAAACCCTAACCAAATTTGCTTCTAGTTCTGATGAAAAAGTTCTCCCCCAAATCCCTTAGATGTCAAGGCACTGGTTTACTGTTGATGCACAATAGCTACTCAATAATTGTTTGCTGAATTCACTAACTTACACATCTTTAGGTTACTTAAAGAAGCAGAATGCCTGTCTTCTTAACTTTCCCCTCAACTGTTTCCCAAAGTTACAAAAAAGATAGAATTTTTATGTAAAAATCCAGACACCAATCCCAAATCCATTCTGCTGTATTGCATTTTTTGTTGCTGGGGCAGAAGTGCCTTGGAAATTGAGAAGGAAGGAAGGAAGGAAGGGAGGAAGGGAGGAAGGAAGGGAGGGAGGGAGGAAGGGAGGAAGGAAGGGAGGGAGGGAGGAAGGGAAGAATGATGGAGGGACAGAGAGTGGGACGGAGGGAGGGAGGGAGGGAGGAAAGGAAGGAGGAAAGGAAGGAAGGAAGGAAGGAAGGAAGGAAGGAAGGAAGGAAGGAAGGAAGGAAGGAAGGAAGGAAGGAAGGGGGGGAGGGGGGAGGGGGGAGGGGGGAGGGGGGGAGGGGGGGATGGATGGAGGGAGGAAGGGAGGGGAGGAAACATGCTGCCAGTACCTCATACACCTGTAAAGACTGTAAGAAACTCTTGCTTCTTCTTCCTGAACTAGCTTCTAAAGCTGCCCTGCCCAACACTGTGGCCACCAGCCACATGGAACCACTGGGCACTGAAACACACCTAATTCTGTTATGAGTGTAAGAATATATGCCATATTTCAAACAGTATAAAAAAAGCAAAATACATCACTCATAATTTTTATAAGGATTCCATGTCAACATAATATTTTAGCTATATAAAGATATTTTGGCAATATAAAATATATGGTCAAAATCTATTTTATCTGCTTACTTTCACCTCCTTAGTGCAGCTACTAGAGAATTTAAAATTACATACATGGCTCACACTCAGTGGCTTGTACTGTATGGTCATTGGACAGTGCTGCTCTGTAGCAATGATTGGTGAGTTGTGGATCACAAAACCTATTTAGTGGGTTACAACTTGTGTTTTTTTTAAAGACGAATAGAACAAATAAAGTAGATTAGAATGCATGGCATTGTGCAGGCCAGTGGTGCAATGGACAACGTGTCTGATTAGGGATCAGAAGATTCTAGAATGCATGGCATTTAGTAAAGGTAAATACTCTTTTGTGAAACTCTGGTTTCATATACACACATACATATGTCTATACACACGCGCGCGCACACATATTAGACAATAATTATAGCTGTATTAGGTATTAGGTTACAAAGTAAAATGCATTTTTATGGTCAATAGAGTAGAAGTGCTTGAACATCCCTTTTCTAAATT